TTCAATACTTTTAAGACTCAAAACTCGAGAAAACTTGGATAACCGAATGTCCTTCAGGCCACACATTAGTTATAATCATCTATTTCACTACTTTAATTCTTTTTTTTTTTTTTCATTTCGGCATTTTATCAAACATTTAGCATGCATACACAAAAATCATCTTTCTTTTCCTCAACCTAATCTTGGACTTGCCCAACAACACCACAACAATAAATCCAGCAAGAGAAAGGGACAAATCAGCAACTAAACATGCTTTAAATATAACTAAAAAAAGGAAAGAAAAAGAAAAGAAGAAAAAAAATTGGAAAAAGAAAGGAAAAAATACCTCAACTAGAATTATGTTCCGTTGGCTAAAGTTTTTTTTGACTAAATTCCCAAACTCCAATTGTCCAACCGGTTGCTACCTCCCATTTTGTGTTTTGATTTTGTGGAAGAAAATGTGTAGAGGGAGCCGAGAGGTTCAAAAGAAGAAATGAATGGAGCTTTTGTCGTTGTGTGTGTTTGTCTAGTTGAGAGAAAACAGAGAGGCGAGAGTGACCTGGGAGGAGTATGTTGATTTTTGTCTTCCTTATTGTGTCTGACTTCCAAGCAAAAAGAAGAGCAAGGCCGAGAGATATATATTGGGAGCCAAAAAGTGGAGTTTGTGTGTTAGTTTTGCCAAAATGATGATTTTCTCAGCTAATGAAAAGAAAGGTGCATGGCAATTAAGTGTAAAATGGGTTAATAGTTGTTTTGGCAGGGAAAATGATGAAAATGTGTAAGTTTAGTTTGATTTTTGATTTTTGCTTTTGCTTTTGACTTTTCTCTTTTTTTTTCTTAAGATAAAACTACAAAAATGAGAAAAAAAAACACATTAAAATACAAGACAATAAATAACTTATTAAATAAAAAAATTCAAAAAAATATTAAAATTTGACAAAAATTTGACGTTTACAACTTGCCCCTCTTTGTCTAGAGTTTTGAAGAAACTGAAGACAAAGGCGTGAACACCAAATTGCTTACCTATCTCTTTTAATTGCACCTGAGTTAAAATAACAAGCCAACATTTGGCTAAAATTATTGGACAAAAATGATACAATAACATTGCAAAAGACGTGACCGAACTCGTGTAAAGTTGCCTACGTATCCCGCCATGAGAATAAGGTCAAACGTAGTTCGAATACAAGTGAGCCACAAGTGCATTGACCATCTGTGATCTTTGCAAAGTTGAAAAAGTCTGAGCTCTAAAACTCCTAAACATGAAATATAAAATGAATAAGAAAGCACAATTATTAATCAAAACAATCAAAATAAGTAAATTGTCATAATTTAGGAAAAGATACACGGAGAGACGCGGTTACTCTCCAAGAAGGGGGATAGAAAGGTTCGCGAGGGACGCTGAGATTCACCAACAGGAAATTAAATTTGATTGTCAATAAGGAAGGTAGAAGGGTGCGCGGTGGACGCTGAAACTCACCAACAGAAAATTAAATTTGATCTTTTGATCTGTCAAGAAGGAGGGTAGAAGGGTACGCGGTGGACGCTGAGACTCACCAATAGAAAATTAAATTATCAAGATAGAGGGGTGGACGCTGAAACTTACCAACAGAAAATTAAATTATCAAGAAGAGGGTAGAAGGGTGCGCGACAGACGCTGAGACTCACCAACAAGAAATTAAATTTGATCTTTTGATCTGTCAATAAGGGAATAGAAGGGTGCACTGTGGACACTGAGACTCACCAACAGAAAATGAAATTATCAAGAAGGAGGGTAGAAGGGTGCGCAGTGGACGTTGAGACTGACCAGCAAGAAATTAAATTTGATTTTTTATCTGTCAAGAAGGGGGGATAGAAGGGTGCGCGGTAAACGTTGAGACTCACCAACAAAAAATTAAATTATCAAGAAGGGGGGTAGAAGAGTGCCCGTTGGACGTTGAGACTCACCAATAAAAAATTAAATTATCAAGAAGGGGGTAGCAGGGTGCGCGGTGGACGTTGAGACTCACCAATAAAAAATTAAATTTGATCTTTTGACTTGTCAAGAAGGAGGTAGAAAGGTGCGCGGTGGACACTGAGACTTACCCACAGAAAATTAAATTTGCATCTAGATTGTTCAATGGAGCTGAATCCAAACCCATATACCTATCAAGAGAATGAAAATATGATCGAAACCTAGATAATAGGTGGGATTAAACTCGAGTCAAAATAACTAGTGGAAGATATGGAAACACAATTGCTATCGAACTGAAAGATCATAATGCATGTTGCTTAAAAGGTAATAAACCAAGACAAACTTGGTGGACTTACAACTTTTCTTGATTTTTTGAACTTTAAAAGAAAGAAAATAATGATTTTTCTTTTCTTTCTTCAGAAATGTACAGCGAAACCTGGAACTCAATCATTCTACCATTTGTCCCAGTTTGAATCATGCTCAACTAAATCAGTATTGTGCCACATAATTTTTCCTGCAAAAAGGAAAAAAAAAGAAGAAACAACTGTGATGAAAACACCGCAGCCACCATGTCATCCCTGTGCCTTGAGAACCATGTAAACATGAGTTTCAACATCAACAAATCACTCCTTTAGGTTCGGTCGACAACCCCTTCAGAATCTTTGCAATTGTCAAATGTCAATTATCCATACTTTATTATCATAAGACCTTCAATTTCATGACTCCTTTGGGATAAATTATAAGGGATTGTCTTTTGAATGAGACCCAATAAATGAGCGATATAAACAATTGAATATGAATTATTTATTATGCAATAATGCTGATATGAAATAAACAATGATACCTAATAAATAAAATAGTAAATAGAATAGCAAAACAAAATTGTTGGATTTATGAACACGAGTCCAAGGGTCAAAAATTGGACACATACTTAGAGGACAGCCATTGATGAAGAAAAGTGCTTCATCTAACCCTTTTGACGTCATCCATTTTGAAATTCATTGTCGGCAAAAGAACAACAGTATGAAAGAGACCCAAATCAACATAGTCACCAGCTTTCAGACCTCAGCCTCTTGTTCTGCGTTCACGATCCTCTTGTATTCCAAAACCCTACCTTAGCGCCCTTTCGGGTTTTTACTAAAATTACCCCCACCCTTTTTCTTTTCTTTTTCCTTTATTTTGTTTTTTTTCATTTTTCAATTTGTTCTTCTTTTTTTTTTAGAAGATGCCCTTTCAAATTTTCACCTTGAGACATAGACAAGATGATTTTAATCCCTACTGTATCAATCCAGTCATATTTTGGGAATTTGTGGCGTCAATGAGATAATTTTCTTTGACATATTTCAGAAAAGTTATATTTACATCATTTGTCAATTGATTAAAAAAAATTTTCCTCAAACTACTGCAAAACATGAAAGTCGGCAACTTTGGACTCTTGTAACTAGGATCGGATGAAATAGTGAAAGAAATATTGAGGTTTGAAAGTGGATCATATGATGGGTTTGCAATCATTTGAGATAGCATTCTTTCGAAAAACTTGCTTTGGTCTAGGGTTGGAAAGAGATAAAATTAGCCGCTGTTTAATTCTAACCAATTTTCTCTATTTTTTTCTTTTCTTTTCTCTTTTTCTCTTTTTTTTTTCTTTTTTTTGAAACAAATTTGCCCCAGTATAGGGTTAATCATCTTAAGGGACTACCAAGCGAAAAGGAGGTGGTTCTGAAAAGTCAAAAGAAAAAAATTAGGGATAGGATATCGAGATGGAAAAATGAGAAAGAGTCTGCCTTAAATCCGTCTCTTGCAGTAATTTTAAAGAAAAATTTTTATAATCAAATGAAAATTTTTTTACACATGTCTGCATTAATTGGTTGGAAAAAAACTTGATCGTCCATTTCCATAAAGATAAGCTCTCCTTGGGATAACATTTTCTTAACAATCAATGATTCTTGTCAATTGGGAGCAAACTTTTCATTAGCCTCCTCTTGCATTGGAAGAATTTGTTTCAAGACCTTATCTCTGACTTAAAACAAACTAGGCTTAACTTTCTTGTTATAAGCACGAGTCATTCTTCGCTTATAACATTGTCCATAACAGACGGCATTCAACCTCTTTTCATCAATTAGATACAACTACTCATGACGTTCTCTGATCCATTCAACTTCTTCTATCTGAGCTTCGATCAAAATGCGTAAGGAAGGAATTTCAAATTCTGCAGGCAATTTTGCTTCCATTCCATACATAAGAGAGTAAGGAGTTGCACCGGTAGAAGTCCTGATCGTAGTTCTGTACGCCATCAATTCATAAGGCAGTTTCTCATGCCAATCCCGCTGTACTTCAGTCATCTTACGAATGATCATTTTCAAATTCTTATTTGCAGTTTCAACGGCTCCATTCATCTGAGGCCTGTAAATGGCAAAATTTTGATGTCTAATCTTGAACTGTTCATATAATTCATCAACCATATCATTATTGAGGTTTTTGACATTATCAGTGATCAATGTTTTCGGCACCCAAAAACGACAAATGATATTATTTTTCAAGAAATTTGACACTACTTTTTTAGTCACCTGCTTATAGAATGCGGCTTCAACCCATTTGGTGAAATATTTAATCGCCACTAAAATTAATCGATACCCATTCCAAGCAGGAAGGTCAATAGTTCCGATCACATCTATTCCCCAGATCGAACATGGTCACGGAGCAGTCATACTGTGCAATTCTGTAGGAGGAGCACGTATAACATCACCATACATTTGACACTTGACACACTTTCTAACAAAATCTACACAGTCATGCTCCATGGTAACCAACAATACCCTATTCTCATGATCTTCTTAGCCAATAGATGCCCATTTATGTGTGGCCCATAAACCCCATTATGCAGTTCCTTCATCATATAATTGGCTTTCTCTTCATTGATACATCTCAGAAGGCCCAAATCAGATATTTTTTTGTATAGCACTTCTCTGTTCAAGAAGAATCTTGATGACATTTTGCGTAAGAAATTTTTTACAACGAAATCAGCATCAGGAGGGTAGGATTCCGTTTTTATGAATTCCTTAATATCATTGTACTAGGGGCGAACATCAGAGTCCATTTCCATAACCAGAGAATGCGCTGGCCTATCCTGAAGTTGAATGTGTATAGGTTCAATCACCAACCCATCTGGATGTTGGATCATCGAAGACAGAGTAGCTAAAGTATCGGCAAAGTCGTTACAAGTGCGGGGAATACGTCTAAGTTCTAAAATTCTGAATTTGCTGGCCAAACTAAACAAGTTACAATGATACATCATAATTTTTGAATCCTGAGTTACCCACTGCTTAAGCGTCTGGTGTACAAGTAAATCGAAATCACTAAATGCTATCAGGTCCTTGATCTCCATGTCCAATATCATCTTCAATCCAAAAATACAAGCTTTACTCGGTCATGTTGTTGGTACAAGGAAATAGTAATTTGACAGTAGCAGGATAGAGTTTCCCTTCAGACAACACTAAAACTGCTCAATTCAAACTTCAAAAGAATTTGACGCACCGTCGAAAAATAACCTCCATCTAGGATACTGCTCACTCATGTTCTCAACTGTTTCAATGAACAGAATTTCTTCATCAGGAAAGTAGGTATGCAATGGCTGGTAATCATCATCTCTTGAATTTTCTGCCAAATAATCTGCTATGGCCTGTCCCTTGACTGCCTTTTGTGTTGTGAAGACGATGTTGAATTCAGAAAGAATCATTTGCCACTTAGCCATACGTCCCGTGGACATCGACTTTTCCAATAAGTATTTTGGACAATCAGAACGAGAAATTAGGTAAATGGTATAATCGAGCAAATAATGTCTCAATTTCTGAACTGCCCATGCTAAAACACAATAACTTCTCTCAAGAAAAGAATAGTTGGGCTCATAAACTGTAAATTTCTTACTCAGATAGTAGATGACTTGTTCATTTCTCTCAGATTCGTCATGCTGTCCCAGAACGCATACAACAGTCTCATCAAGAACAGACAAATACATAATCAGAGGTCTTCCTGACTGAGGTGGCACTAAAATCGGAGGATTTAACAAATAATTCTTGATTTTATCAAAAACTTGCTGACAGTTTGCATTCCAATTCATCGACGCATTCTTTTTCAATAATTTGAATAAAAGCTCACAGGTAAAGGTTAACTGTGCAATGAATCGGACAATGAAATTGATCTTTTCAAAAAAATTCTTCACATTTTTTTGAGTTTTGGAATGGGCATATCTCGAACTACTTTTATTTTCGTAGAATCTATCTCTATACTCTTTTTGCTGACAATAAAACCCAATAATTAGCCAGCTGGGGCTTCAAAAGCACATTTCGCAGGGTTCAACTTCAAATTATATCTTCTAAACCTTTCAAACAGCTTCTTTAAATCAACCAAATGGTCCTCGACCTTCTTTGATTTAATTATGATGTCATACACATAAACCTCCATTTCTTTGTAGATCATGTCATGAAACAGGATAGTCATGATCTTCTGATAAGTAACTCCAGTATTCTTCAACCCGAAAAACATCATTCGATAACAAAAGGTTCCCTATGAGGTGATAAAAGAAATTTTCTCTCTGTTTTCTTCTGCTATTAAGATTTGATGATATCCAACAAAATAATCACCAAAAGATTCAATTTCGTGTTCAACAGTATTGTCTAAAAGAATATGAATATTTGGCAAAGAAAAATTATTTTTTGGACTGGCCTTATTCAGATCTTTGTAATCAACACATACTCGCACCTCCCCAGATTTCTTAAGCACTGGCACAGGATTCGAAAGTCAAATGGGATAATGAGACACCACGATTATCTTGACATTGAGTTGTTTCACAATTTATTCCTTTATCTTAAGGCTCATTTTCGATTTAAATTTTCGTGGCTTCTGCTTTACAGGTGAAAAATTTGAATCAGTTGGCAACCTGTGAACCACTATTTTCACAGAGACCCCTGGCATATCATCGTATGACCATGCAAACACATTTTGAAATAATTTTAAGAATTCAATCATTTCCTCCTTCTGTTTCTTATTCAAATGAATGCTGACTTTAATTTCTTTAACCTAGTTTTAGTGCCAATATTGATGATTTCTATTTCTTCTAAATTGGATTTGTGTTTCTCTTCATACTGTTTTAATTCGCTTGAAATGGACTCAAATTTTTCCTCAGCATCGCTCTCGTTTTGAATTTCAGATTGCGTGATTTAAATTCATGGGAGATATCGAGGTTGCAACCATCAAATTCCAAAATGGTGACATCCAAAGGGTCAGAGGGCTTTATTTGTGACCATCTGAAAATAGAATAGATCATACATAATAAATAAATAGAAAATATAGGAGAAGTCTTCTATTTCATTAAATTCAAAATGCATCGAGACTTCACAAAAAGATAAATATACAGACATGATTGCTATTTAAAGACATATCTAGCCCAACCTTTATTTTCGTTTCAGCAATTTTCTTGAACAAAACAAACTATATTAATTGAAATGAGAAAAAAGGTTTAAAAAATGAAAATAATTTTTTTTAACAAAAGATCCAGACTACCATCCTATCTGGATATGATCTAGACAAAAGACAATTCTCCTAAATTTATCAAAATTTTTTTAAAGAGAAGATGATCAGCAGTCCAATTTTGGATAACTCCTTCGATAATTGAAAAAAATTCTGAATTCTCTGATGGCTCCTCCCCACAAATAGCCTCGACAAATAATTGAGATAAGTCCACATCAACTTTTTCAACAGGAACCTTCTTCTGACAGAATCACTTCTGACTGGCGAGAAAAGATGTGATATAGCGGTAGGACATTTAAAACAGTTTGTCTACCCTCCTTTTCAGCTTGTTTTCTAGTTTGCATTTCTCTTCTATCCTTTGCAGTTGAATGAAATTCCAGTCCAAATGTATCTTTTTGCATCGGGATCTCTATTGGTTTCAAAATTTCTTGCAATTCCCATTCTAGATCTTTTCTAATTTCATATCCGCCTCGAATCATCTTCCTAACTATCATAATACTGGCCTCTGGCAAATCTAATATAGTCAGCGACTTATCTTTGGATATCCATCGCACAGAAACGATGTCAGCGACATGATGAGATGAGATTGGAGTCCTTTTTCTGCCTTCACCTTTGAATTTTGCATCAACAATCATGGTACAGTCATCCTTGGCAAACACAGTATGAGCTGATCATTCACAATAAATCTCAACATTTAATGCAGAGAAAATGGCACTGAATTGGAAGCATGTATCCAAGATCTTTCAAGCAAAATATTGTAAACACTGGAGAAATTCATGACTTGACAAGTAACTTGAAATTGAGCAGAGTTTATCTCCAATACCAGATCTGTTTCACCCATAGATTCTCTTCTTGAACCATCGAATCCTCGAATCACAGTTACAGACGGGCGGAGTTTGATATCAACAAATCCAAGTTTAGTGAGAGTGTTTCATGGACAGATATTCAACGCTGACCCATTATCCACTAAGACCCTCGGCAACAGCTTTTCATTGCAACGGACTGATATATATAAGGCTTTGTTAAGCACAATCCCTTCTGTGGTCAGATCGTTATCGAAAAATGCGATATGATTAGCAGCAAGTACATTCCTCACACTATTAGAAAATTTATCCATCGAGATATCTTAGGCACTTGAGCCTCATTCAAGATTTTGAGTAATGTTTCTCTATGTAATTCGGAGGTCAAGAGAAGATTCAGAAAAGAAATCTGAGCAGGCATCCCATCCAACTATTCTACTATTTTATACTCACTTCTCTTCAACATCTTTAAAAAATCCATTACTTCATTTTCATATACAAGAGGCTTGGGCGTCGGAGATTTAACCTTGGCTCTAGACTGAACATTAATTTCGGAGTTTCCCACAATTCTCCCAGACATGGTAATAGTAGATACCTCTTCCTTTAAGCATTTTTTTATCTCCAATCAACAGAATAGGTTCCTCATAGTTCCATGGCACCACTTGCAAGTTATTAACAGGCATTTGTTCTGAAAATTTGAGAATGACTGGCTCTGATATATCCCATTCAAAAGATGATAGATCGAAAATAAACGAAACTTTAGAATTGTCAACCTCGAAAGGCCCTCCTTCCACTATAAATGGCTCCTTTTTTTCACACACAAAAGATTTCAACTGTTCCTCAACATTATCATTAGTTGTGGACTCTTCAACAGACGACAGTTTTCTCATTTTCGCATGGTCAGCCTCCATTACCCCAAACACCTCAATTTCATCTACAATGTATTGAGTGGGATCGATAAAATCTTCATGAGCGATGATAACCCCCATATTACTCCCATGCTCAGGTAAAAGATTATGACTGATATTCGGTCCATGTTCTCCCTTTCTTCTAAGAAAAATATCTCCAGAATCAATTATGTCCTGAACCTTATGTTTTAGAGTCCAAAAATTACCAGTGGTATGACCTGGACTTCCAAAATGATAAGCACAGATTGCTTGAGAATCATAACCGGCAGGAGGACTTCTGGAATAGAGTTTGGGAGAAACGGTGCCAATTTTTCCAACTGCCTTTAGTTGCTCATACAATTGATCAATAGGTCGGTCCAAATTGGTGAAGGTTCGAAATTGCTTCTGAGTTTGAATTCCGCTGGTTTCAAAAAGATTTTGAGAAGGGTTATTGTTTTGCAAGGTTGGTCTGGATTGGTAAACGGGATGAGAGTGATTTTGAATGATAGATTGTGGGGTTGGAGGTAACGGTGAGGTATTCAAGTGACTTGGTCGGGAATGATAAAATTGGATAGTAGTGTGGTAGACTGGTTGAGAGTTAGGGTAATGTGGGTAATGAACAGAATAGGTGGGATGGTTTCAGATTCTGGATCTGAAAGACAGGCCTTGATCCTATATAAAAGCAGTTTCTCCTTTTTTCTTCTTGAATGGGGGTTTTTTCCCATTGTTGCTTTGATTCTGTAGAGCATCCAATTGCAACTTTAATGCCGATACATTAACAATCTTCCATGTTTTGACAAACTCATCGTATTCCTCCAACTTGTTAATAATAGCAGCAAACGAACTTTCAATCATGCGAAAGATCTCTTCAAAGTAGGATGGATCATAAGTCTTGATGAAAGTACGAACAATCTCCTCAGTCATAGGAGGCTCCACCTTAGCAGCTAACTTTCTCCATCGCTTTGCGTAGGTCTTGTGATCTTCCGACGGCTTTCTTTTCGTGCTCTCCAATGTTGTACGTATTGGTGCCAACTTACAGTTAAATTCATATTGCTTCACAAAAGCTGTTAACAGATCCAACCCGGTTTTGATCTTCTCAGACTTCAAATTTGAATACCAATCTAGAGCATCTCCCTCTAAACTTTTCGAAAATAGACACATAGGCAAACTTTCATCATCCACCGGCTTACCTAACTTGTTGGCAAACATCTTGAGATGCGTCTTAGAATTTTCAGTTCCGTCATACTTGTTGAATTTAGGGGTTTTAAATCCCAACGGTAGTTGAATATTTGGAAAAAAACATAATTCATTGTAGTCCAATCCATCATGCTTGCTCAATCCTTGATTTTTTTCATAAATTCATTGAATCGATCCAACCTTCTCAACAGGTCCTTGTCAATAGGTGCGGGTTGTTCTTCTATCGTTGCCTTTCATTGAGATGCAATATCCCGTGCAAAAGGCTCTGTAATATGGTGGTGGAGTCCCTGAGGGTTGGGGGGAATGTTCAGATTGGTTTGTGGATGGATTTGAAGGATTTAACTATTAGTTGGGTTCATCAATGTATAATTTGGATGCATATAGAAAAGGTCTGAACTTAGTAGGGTAAAGTTATTTTCAAGAGGATTAGCGAAAGGAGGAATGAAAGTTGTTTGGGTATTAGATGTGTGGGGTAGTTGATGGTCTTGTGCAGATGAGTGATTGTCGACAGGTTCTTGATCGTTCGGGACACCATCACCATTATTGCTTGCAACCAACTGATCAATTACACGCCTTTGTGCGGCTATTTCAGCACTTTAACTCATTGAACTTACCAAGTACTTCACTTAATTGAGCTCCCAATGCTGTGAAATCCGGTGACGTAACTATAGCAGATCTTTCCAAAGTTTCTGGCACTGAACTCATGTTACAGGCTGACTCAAGGCTCTACTTCGGGACCTGGTGATGATGGGGTTTCTTTGAGCAACTATTGTGAAAAATACCTGATAGTGGAGAAAAGAAACTGATTTAGGAATGGATTTTGTGTCAAATTGCTGTAATTTATTCAAGAAAAAGGAAAAAAAAATGAGTTAGTAGATATTTAAACAATTCGGATGCATGTCTTATGGGGAAGCACTTTTTATGTCAGGATCGACCTAACATGATGCAATACCTTCGGAGTAAAATCCTAATTTCAAACCTGCAAGTGAATGTAGAAATTAAAGTGAAAATCCTCATTAAATACTGACAAATTTAATCATTTTGTACAGCTTTATTGATGATTCGGCTGACCATTTTTATAGCTTTTGTGTGTGTTTTTGTCTAGTTGAGAGAAAACAGAGAGTCGAGAGTGACCTGGGAGGAGTAAGTTGGTTCTCGTCTTCCTTGTTATGGCTTGACTTCCAAGCAAAAAGAAGAGCAAGGCCGAGAGATGTATATTGGGAGCCAAAAAATGGAGTTTGTGTGTTAGTTTTGCCAAAATGATGATTTTCTCAATTAATGAAAAGAAAGGTGCATAGCAATTAAGTGCAAAATGGGTTAATAGTTATTTTGACAGGAAAAATGATGAAAATGTGTAAATTTAGTTTGATTTTTTATTTTTGCTTTTGATTTTGACTTTTTTCTTTTTTTTTTCCTTAAGATAAAACTGCAAAAATGAGAAAAAGAAAACATTAAAATACAAGACAATAAATAATCATTAAATAAAAAAAATTCAAGAAAACATTAAAATTTGACAAAAATTTGGCGTTTACAATTCTCTCTTAAGCTCTTGGAAATCATGGTATCCAATTCAAACACCAGCCTCTCTCAGTTCCCTAATTTCCTTTATGCTAAGCCTCCCCTGTGCAACAGCCGTTTCGAGAGCTGCTGCCATTTTGGTTGTTGTAATGCCCTTTATAATCTTTTGTGCATACTGAGGCGGCAGGCCAACATCCTTCTGCAACTCGTTGAGCTGCTCAATTCGGGCTTTTGTCAATTGTCCATCTGCTAAAATCACCTCTGCTTTTTGCCTAAAGGCCTGCTCCGCTAAGCTTCTATGTACTTCAACAATCTCCTTAGAAGTCAAGCCAAGTATGCCTCCCAGTTGGTTCAGCAATGCATATTCAGAATCACCCTTCTTTGTGGTGAATTGGGTACCCAGAGGGATATTCACTACTCCAGTCATACAATAAAGCAGATATGTCTTATAAAGATCAGTTCTGTCCCTTTCTGGTAGGTCATCTTTAAGGTTTATCTCAGTCTGGCCTTTCTTTGCCAAACTTTCTTTACCAGGTCTTACTTTCCTAAGTGACTGCAACGACTCCCATTCCTCATCCTCGCCCTCATCAACCACTTTTTCTCCCTTTTCCACAGGGGGCTCTGCAGGTGGAGTATCAGATGACTCGCCTTTAATATCTGCCACTAATTCTGTCACAACCAAGCTGTTGAAAGCTATCATCTTTTTGAGCTCTTTTGCAGATTCCGTGCGGCTACCAGCTGCTCGTGCTCTTTGGATGTAACTAATAAAGATCTTACGGACCTGAACATACGCAGTGCAAATGGGAGGGCAATTATTACTGGTATTACCGTGATTGACACCAGAAGAACACGGGGCTTGTTCAATAAAACAAAAGGTTCTGAAGCAACAAGTAAAGTGAAATGTAGCCAGGATCTGATACTTACTGCCTTGCTAGCTATATTCATAGCAACCTCTCTAGGTAAGCATAAACCAAATGCAGCCTTTCTCACAGCTTTCTTGATTTCAGCATCATATCCATCGACTCCAGCGGCAATTGCTTCCTTAACAACCTGGAAAAAGAATCAGGCCAGTATAACTGTAGACATTGCAACTATATAGAAAAAAATCTTCGATTCAAGACAATAGGGCCTATATCTGGAACATGAATACAATACACTAGAAGTTCTTAAAGCTACACATTCTGAAAATTTTAATACCATTTTGAGAAAGCCACAAGTAAGCATTTTGTTGGAAAACAAGCTGGCAGTGTTTCTCCCAATAAGCACACAAAGGGCATCACTACCTTAGTCATAACATGTTGGTACTTTATGACTCCATCATTCATCAGAAATCTCAGTGACTATCATCTCTAATCAAGGTTGTAAAGATTGAAAAACACTTTACCAGTTATGAACATCAATATGTATTTTAAACGCTTGCCAGATGCACACTATATCTATTCTACCAATTTAGCAGCCAAGCCATGTACAATTAATGGAAGATCAGGTAGTTTAATCCCTGATGGAAATGGCCTTCCATCTGTTTTCCGTACTTCCAATCTGATCACAGAGAACGACACCAATGGAATTCAAACAGTGGTTACCTTCTCAAATAAGCTACCACAGATGTCTGCATGAGCTGCTTCAACTGTTTCCCTTGGAATGCAGAACATAATCTGTAACTTTTCCAACACTTTAACATCCTCGTCACTTAGTGCTCCATCAGCTACAGCTTGCTGAAGCTTTTGCCGGTAGATTTCTGTAAATCAAAAACATGATCTTGACAAGTTGCTCAACTATTATATTAGGAAATATACATTTAAGAGAACTTTCTGCAAATTGTTAATTGCGACCTATACCATAGAGCATACAGTCACTAAAGTAAAAGCATGTCATGATAGAGTTTTAAAGGAAATAGTAGAATATTTATATTTAACCAGCCCGTGCAAGTTGCAAAGACAGGAGAGCTGCCACTTATTTGAACCACTATTACCTTCATGGATCTCAACAGCCTTCTCCGCATCAAACTGCAACTCTTCACAGAGGTTCTGAAGATAAGCTGCTTTACTATCAGCAGCAGCTAAGTCACCACTAGATACAGCTTGAGCAAGTTGCCTGCGATACACTTTTGAGGTAACCTCCAGTTTAATGGATTCTGCTTCTCGCATACCTAAACCGAAAATATTCCTCAACTGGTTCAGTGCAGTGAGCTACAGTAGAAAAGAAAGTCAATGTCAATAGACACAAAAAAAAATAAAAAACAATAACATGTAATAGTGACAAACAACGTCCAGCAAAAGCTATCTTTCACTCTATCTTCCTTTCTTTTTTTCAATACTCTCCATTTGATGTTTCAACCCCAAGGGTTCTTGTCATTTCTGTGAAGGTTTGACTTCCAAATGGAAGTATACCACTCAAATAAAGTACGTTTTGACTGATATTTTACATCTGACAATTGATGTGGCCACTGACTAAATAAAATCTTGTTTCCTGAGCACCAACAGTCTTACATCTCCAGAAATAAAGCCTTCCTTTGCACCCAATCTTTAAACTATTTATGTACACAAAATATCATTGAATGTGCTCTAGCTTTGGCCAGCATTTTTGCAACATCTTACACACAGTTATGAGCTTTAATGTGCAATCCACAATTTTGTCATACATGAGCTCTGATAGTCAGCAACAAGCTTGCCAATTACCAAATGTCATGAAAGAAATTCTGGATTGTCTCAGTTGTAAATTTAACAGGTCCCCATACCCGAACATACATTTTATACTCAAGAATCTTGAGCAGAAAAGTATTTGCGCTACAAAGCAAAGGAAAGAAGATCAAAAAGAAAGAGGCAAGGATTGCAGGGGTCAGGTGGGAGACAAGCATGCAACTCGTGTTTCATTAGCAGTCAAAAATTGTTCATGAAACAAACTAGCGCCAATGCGAGGCCACATGTGAGAAATCTGTTCCGGGCATGCATGATAATGATAGTCCTCACTCCATGAGGCAGGGCATAAAGCATCATTCCGTAAAACTCAGAACTCTTAACACTACCAGGAGTTATACAAACAAAAGAATGCAGGTATGAACCATTGCAGTTTGAGTATAACAATTTATGGGTTAATCTGCATATTTTGTCTCTGTACTTACACACACACACACACATATATACAGGTTGCATGTGTTTGCAAAGGAATGAGGTTACTTAAGCACCTTATCTTCTTCCATCCGACCGCTTGATAATGAGTCCCAGACATAGGCTCTGTATAGGAGCTTTAGGTCATCTATTTTTCTGTCAGAGTCATACTCCCCACCTAGGCAATAATGTCACATTAACTTCAGCTGAAAGTTTAAACAGTATACATTGAAAGAACCAAGGTCCAAAATTGCAATCGATTACAAAACAAAAATAACAACGAAAACAAGGAAAAAGAAGAAAGCCACATTATCATTTGCGCAGACAAGTGGAAAGCAGTTAGCATCCTCGTTACCTAACAAAGAAACTGGCCCAACTCCCCGAGCAAAACGGTTGGCTTCAGGATGGTTCTTCAGCGAAATAAGCAAGTTATTAAATTTCAGCACCTTATTCAGCTCTTCAACAATACGAGTTGCTTCCCTGCAGGTACCCAAATAGGTTTTCGTGAAAATGATTCTACAAGCTGACACAAGGAAAAGAAAAACAGTGAAAGATATCACCACTGATAACCATAGTTGGCCAAACCCACATTTTCTTACTGACTTGTTCCATAAAAGTTTGAAAACTCATCTTCACTAAAAACTAGGGATTCTTAAAAGTGTGTTAAAAGGATGCCTATCAAGTCTAACTTTCTGCATAGATGCAAGTTTACCTCCTACAGACTATCTAGTTCTGACCATGCGCTTCTCATCCTTTCTATTACCAAGAATCAAGAAGGAAAAAAAATACATACGATGCTCTTGTCCTGGATTTTAATATGTTAAGAGCAGTTGATATATTCTCATCTACAGGCTTCCTTGTAAGCTCTTTAAACATATTCTCAGCAAGCTGCAAAAGAAGGGTAAGCGATGAGCCAAAAAAAGATATCAACATTCATGTGAAATACTACATGTCTTGTTTTTGTAACATGCCAGACAATTGCAGATAAGATCAAATATACAGATGGCAGTACCTCATCTGAAAGGCGATATGCAAGCTGTGCTTCTCGGAGGCCAACCAGCTGGTCAACATTAATATCTAACAAAAATTCCAACTCTTGTTAATACAGAAGAGCAGCAAGTGCAATTTGTCTAAATTACAGTATGGCAAGACAACTTGAAAAACCCAGCGGCTCATCCAATGACTCTAAAAACAAGCAGCAAAATGGAAATAACCAGACCCAAAAGCGGATAAGCAAAACTCTTAAGAAAGTAAAATTAGAGAATATATCTTGAAATAAGTCTGGATACTAGCAAACCGATCAGAGTTCAAAAAAGACCAGTCCATCATGAAAGCCAAGGACTTACAAATACAAAAGACGTGATCAAAACATTTGCATGTTTTCCAAGCCATTTCCATATGAATATGGAAGGAAATCAATCATTTTAGAATGAAACAAGAAAATACAAAGTAAATTAACCTTTTGATCCTTCCAAGCTTAGATGGCAGCCTTTGATTTCATAAGGATCAAAAGCCAGACCTTGCATTTGAAGTTGAAACAGCTTCAATTATTAGAAATTCAAAGTTTAACACAAAATATTGCATTGAAGATTATGCTAAAGCATAAAATTTTGCTTTTCTGAGCTGATTATTCACTACAGTTTGTATACACATGAAAATGAAAGGAATACACCAGTGAAGTTTACTGTATATTTCTGCTTGGGCAATGTTTGTTATACAAAGTGAAAAACATGTCGATTTGGGACATTCCCTGCCACAAATATATGTCAAATATTACAAAAGTAAAGGTACATCAAACAAGCAGGAGAAACTCAGCAGTTACCTTGACCAATTGATTTAACCTTGAAGCCATACAACCGCTGTGCATTGTCTCTAACAGCAAGTTCAACCTAATGAACAAGAACATTAAAGACATTAAAACATGGCAAATAAATTCAACCTTAGGCATGCCAGCTCTGTTCACAGTGCCTTCAGAAGACCAAATGATGCTTAATAGTAAAGCATATTGCATGAGAAAAATAGCAAAGATCAAAACTTTGCAAGTTAACAGGAATAGAACTCCGCGGAAAAACATGAACAAACTAGATACCTGTGCATCAGTGACTTTGAAAACTCGTTTCCAAGGTAAAAGGAAAGAAGATGCCTCCCCAAACACAAGAGTTGAAACATATATCAACTTCTGAAATTCCTGCACTGGAAACACTGAGAACGGTCAAGTTCCAAACCTTGTTTTATAGACCTGACCACCTGCTAACTAACTGTCTTAGTAGATGTATCAAAGCAACAACATACCCGACGCTGCTCCAGATCAGCATCACGGTCTGCAGCTTCAAGCCTTTGTCTGAAAATTCGCCTACCAATCTGAGAAATTAACAGTTAAATTAGTTCCAAGCAAAAGGAAATATGACCTCTCCATTCAAACTTAGCAATGGAAAGATTCACATCCTTCATAATAAAATCAAAAGAACAAACATACTTACCTGCATGTGCATAGCTGCTGCATCTGGATCATCGATACCCAATGCATTCTTAAACTTGATGATTGTTTCAACTTCGTCACCTTTGAGATCTTCATTTCCCGGAGGAAGGATGGAAGATACATATCTGAAAAGTTTGAATTGCATAATGCAAATCCAAATATATACTTCCATTATTTTCATATCAAAGCGACAGGTTAAGATCAAAGAGAACCCGAAGAACATACAGACCATTACAATCACTAATAGTAGTAATACAGTTTTCTCTTTCCTAACAGAAATTAATCCAAACTGACAACAGGCAAGAATACTAATCATTAGGAGAAATGACTCGAAAAGATTAATTATCACAGCTACTTTTATAGAATGAATTTCTATACTCACCTGCAATATATATCACAAAGCTCTGTATTGAAGGCTTCATTTTGTTTGCTAATACCATATCTGAAAAGATGTGCGAAATTAGAAATAAAACAAAGAACATACTATTGGGTGACTAACTAATACTAGTGACAGCACAATGTCAAAAACTGAAAAAGTGCAAAATATGCAACCAAGACAAGATAAAATTAACTAAAAAACCAAGATGAAAATAAAACACAGCTCATACATAGCACATCAGCACATGCTTTCTGCATTCCCTGAGCAAACATGACACCAGTTCGTTTCCGGCAAGGAAAGTGGATGCCAGACAGAAAGTCAAAGCAGCCTAATCTGGCCTATAAAATGCACAAGCAGCTAAGCTAATACACTCTAGCAGGGCAGCCAAAGTGCCAAACCAATGGGATAGAATACGGCTAAGCATAGCAAGGCGATGAGTACTTTCAAGCTGACCTAATTGCTGTATCTCAGCGAATTCTCTGATCTAAAATGACGGTGATTAGCAAAATGAAATCAAAAACCATTCTCAATTGCAAAACAAACTTGTGTTCTTCAGAAAAGCCTCCTTGGTTCAACTCAATCCTAACTAAAAGTAAGAAACTTTTAGAACAAATTCACCGTTCCCATTATCAGCTTTTGGTACCCCTGAAGTATTTCAATTCACAATATCTACCAGTGTACGAGTGTTCAATCACCAGATATTGTGAATTTATCATGATGTAGAACCTAAATAAACAAGTATTACTCCACAATACGAACAAAAGAAATATCAAAACTTGAGGCGACCCTTCCACAGACTGATACTTTGAATTTCTTTATACACAATTTTTGAAATAGAAATAGCTAAACCAAGGAAACAAGCAAACAAGACCATTCAAAACAAAATTTTGAACCGTCCCAACTTACCTATTTGCTATTGCTTCAATATCTTCCTTGTTCAAGACAGCAGGGTCATCAAAATCAGCCACATAATTATGCAAATTGACAGCAGCAACTTCAGGAACGCAAGAATTCAATGCGTAGGCCACTCCAGCACCAGCAGTGCCAAGAGCCACGGCCCCACCCATGGCCACGTTGCGGGACCCACCAAACTTGGACCCAAGTCCATATCCAGCAGCAATAGCACCAGCAAATATAAGGGCTGAGCTTGCAATTCTCACGGTCGGCGACATTGCATCCACCAGGGCTTGGAAGCCCGTGAGCTCTTTCTTTCCCCCAAATACATCCGGCTCAATGGCCTTGATGGGCTGGTCTGAAGATGATGACGCGGACAGTGAGGTGGGTATGCTGGCGGAGCGGATTGTGGATATACGGTAACGGCGGCGGCGGCGGCGACGGCTCTGGTGGTAAGCTAGTGTGGTGGAAAGGCGGAGTGGGTTTGGGGGAAGAAACGGGGAGAAGAGTACTTTCGGTTGGGCAACGGATGGGCTAACTGTGAGGAAAATGGATGTGTCCATTTTTTTGTTAAAATAAAAATCCTCTTTCTGTCTCTTTTCCCTCTATTTCTCGGTGGTGGAGGGTGTACGCGATAAAATTTCAAGTCTGCAAAAACAAGAAATATACATGACAAATATGTAATATATAAATTTAAAAAAAATATGTGAATACAATCTCTGGGATTTTCTCGAACTTGTGGAGAGTTTCCCTCGATTCTTCTCCTCGAACACCGATCCAAGGGCTTCGCAGCTTGTTCTTGGATCCGCCACCGATTTATTCAAATCTTGATATGGAAGATTTGAAGGACTTGGAAATATTTGGAGGCTCAAGTCTTGATATATGGAAGACTTGAAGAGCTTGAAGACCCAAACCTTTGTAGCTTGGAACGTCACCACTTTGAGTGTATGAGATGCCTCCTGGCGTGTGTCTCTGTATGTGTGTGTCCCTGATTTGGTTGAGAGACCCCTATTTATAGTTGTAGCAAGAGGTAGAGATTGAAGACATGTGTATCACTATACTTGTCTTGCAAGACATGCAGTCATATTAGAACTGTGCTAGTCAAATATTATCCCTTCATTTTATATTTATTAATAAAGAGATAAGTAATTTCTCAATTGGCCAAACTCGTGGGGACACGTGACGTGGCGCCGTTTGACTGGCCAAGCTATTGCAGTATATAAGAAATATACTTGGATTAAATAACTCTAAATATTATCCCTTTAATAAGAAATAAATATTTAGATATTTATCCAATAGACATGTGACATGATATGATTTGGTCGGTGGAGATATCCCTGCAATTTGAATTGATCTGAAACACCTCGCCTTGACACGTGGCAAAATATAATTGGCCATTTAATAACCAATTTTTCCAAGTGTACATGCCATATGGCAATATCCGATTGAATAAAAATATTTTATAGACCAATGGTAATTTTTAGAATTTAATTAAAATTCCATTGTCTACAGAGGGTTTGGAAGAGAGAAAGGGAACTGAGTGTTGGAAGGCGGGGTTAGGCAAACTGGCGGCAGTGGGGTTTTATAGGGTTTAAAGATTGTTTTGTCCGAAAGCAGCCGGGAGAAGATAAGTGAGGGGTTGGAGTATGCCTAGCAATTGGGCGGGTTGGGCGGATTTTGAGTGGGTTACTATTGGATTTTCATTTAAATGGATTATCTCCAATCCGTCCAACTTTAGATTGGGTTAATTTTGGGTTAAATCATGTTGGATTCTCTCGAACACATGACCCAAAATATTAATTAATATATTTTAATACATAAACTTTTTAACATACATTTTAACATACAAAAATGATTTTTTAACACATATAAACACATTTTCACATACATAAATGTATTTTCACACACACTCACTTCTTAAGTTCCTTGAAAACACATCATAAATAGAATAATATTTTATATTATTTGTATTGTGAATTTTAGATAATAAATTGTACATTTAAATAGATTAGCTAAAAAAATTGTCTACTTTGTACTTTTTAATGCTACTAATTGATTGAAACTTATTAAATGACTGAAGACATTACTGTATTTTGGTTTTTGGACTCGGTAATTAAGAGGAAAGAATAATTGTCTTGCCGATTCCAAACCTCTCATAAAGTTGAAGATTGGAGGTATTTGCTTGAAATGAAATCGTTTGACTAGCCATACCCAAGTTGCCATAATTAATCAAAACAAAATAGAATCCGCAAGTCAACTATATTGATTCAAAGTTAATATCATGATCTATATACATATAATATATATTAGAAGGTATTTTTTTATTGATTTGATATAGTTAGATAATTCATCACCTGATTAATTAGAATCATCTAGGATCATACTTGATGCTATGGTCATATTAATCTTTTAGAATTACCACAGCTCTGATATAAAACAGAAAATATTTATATGATTGTAAACTGGTATTGGTCTCCAATAAATTGTTAAGGAAAATCCCAAACTTTTTAAGAAATAAATGAGAGGAGAATTCATGAACTATCCTGACATTTTTACCACATCGGGATCGCATTATTTTGAATTATTGAAAAATTAGGCTAATACAAAATAAGCTTTTGTTTGTAAATTTGAAGAATCCGAAATTATATAATCCTAAAAGGTTAAAAAAGAAATTTGTACAATATTATACGTACACGAAATATTAACAAATAAAAGCAAGTAGCAACTTGAGAACAATAAAAAAAAGGGGGGGGAGGAAAACAACATATTCTTAAAAGGCATAATAAATTATTATAAAAGTTGAGCAAGTTTAACTACGGTTATAAAAGTAAAATAAGCATGAGCTTTTATTTCAAGTTTCTTTTTTCTTTTAAACAAAAATAAAAAATTGATTAATATATATGAGAATTTTGAATACAAATTAATGAATGAATTATTAATACATGTCCAAATGCAAATAGTTGGACATATGTGTATTGAATTTTATATTTATTATTTTGAATTACTTTTAAACAAGTTGGATATTTGGTACTCAAATAAAAAATTCAACCCGCCCAAGGAATAAATTGGATTGTTCTTATCCAACCTAACAAAACCCATAATCCAATTGACCCAACCCATCATTTAAAATTAATGGGCAGATTATTGGGTTTTGGACTTTTTTGCCAGCTCTAGTAACAGGACTGAATCTTTTGACTTTGTTTCAGCTCATCAATTTTTTATTATTATTATTTTTTTGCCTAAGGAACGTCGAAATTGTGAATTCATGCAAAAGCAACTTTTCTCATCCACAACAGATTGTGGTTGTTGAATGCACTTCATTGTCTACAAGTAAGTCCTTAAACCCAATTTTATGAAATTTGCGAGATAAACATATCGCTTTAAACAAATAATAGAATCTGTTGTAATTTTCTTTTAGAAAAAAATCTAATAAAATCAAAAGTTTGTGAACTTCGAACTGTATGATTCCTAAGGGCAAATAAGGTTCTCTATTGAGGATTAATAGGAACACCTTCCGAAGGTTTCTAGGGTAGTCTGCCATGGCGGCCGCTTGGCCGCCGAACATTGGTGCTAGCACGGGCACCGTGCCGGCAAAATCCTTTGCCGTAGTGGTAGGGAATCCATGCAGCGCGTTGACGAGCCCAGACCTAGGTGGGTTGGGTGCATATCGCGGCGAGCCGGCGCTGCTCCTGTCCAGAAGCGAACTGTCGTTGCTGGCGGAGCCGCCGCCCATCCATGGAGGTGATTAGGAAGTTCTTTGTGACCCTTGGTCTGAAGGGGGAGTGCTCGGTGGGATTATTGGATACGAACCACGTGCTGATTCAACCTTCAACAGAGGAGGACTACACACGGCTCTTTGTACGGCGGACCTGGTTCATTCACAACGCTCCAATGACTGTTTCTAAATGGACGCTAGATTTCAAGTCCAACAAAGACTCCTCTATAGCACCTGTATGGGTCTGCTTCCTGGGCCTTCTCTTACCACTCTTCAATATGAAGTACCTGATGAAACTGGGGTCGCTGTTGGATCGCCTCTTGCAAGCAGATTTCGCGACTTCCTCCTTCAAGCGGCCGTCGGTGGCTCGGGTTTTGGTTGAAGTAGATTTGGCGATGGAACCGGTCAAGGGTATATGGATAGGAGATGACACCTATGGGCACTGGCAGCAGGTCGACTACAAGAGCTGGCCTGCATTCTGTTCCTTTTGCCAGCGCGCCGGCCACGCGGAAGCGGAATGCTTTAGGAAGAACCCTGCACTCAAACCAGCGAAGGTTGCCAGAACTCATGGGCTGAAACCCACTGCTACGAGCAACAAGGAGGGTACGACAATAGCTATCGAGGAGACAAACGGCAGTGAGGAGATGGGAGATGCTGTGACTCCCACGGAGAGGCCTGGGGTTCCTACTCTGACTCTGGAGGTGCAGCAACTTGGGGGCAATGCCTTAGAGGAAGCTCTGGAAAGCGCGCAGGAAGAGGGCGAGTTGCGGGTTGAGCATACATCGGTAGGGACTGTCCCATCGCCTGGGGTGCAGCAGGTGATGGATGGTGGATACTCTCCAGCGGCGCCCCCCTCGCCCCAACCCCAGCAGCCTGGGTTGTTTGTCGCTGCGTTAGTAAAGGAGACCATTGTTTCTATCGCAGGTGAAATCATTCATAAGTTGGCTGATCAAGCGTTTCGGGAAATCGAAGAGATGCGTTCGGTAAAACCTCAAGCTACGAACCAACTTGATGAGGGAGAATTCACTGATTCGGAGTCTGAGAATGGCCATTCACCAGCTAATGGAACATTCACAGAGGCTGCATCGAAAGAGAAGGCGATGAATACTAGCGACTCTTCGCAGCAACGTAAGCAAATTACGTCTAAAGTGGGAAACGATGCACTTGAGAAGGTAGACAAAAGTCATGATCCACATAATGTGGTATTAGTTGGAGACACACCCCTTGTGGGTACAAGTACAAGAACAGAAACGGAAAATTCCCGATTTGAAGATGTGCCACAGTTTAAAGATGTGTTCGAAGAGTTTCAATGGGAGAAATTACATGGTAAGATTCCTCTCATTCATCTAAAACCTTTTATTCATTCAAGTACAAAATGCAATGATAACAAAAATGAAGAGGGAAAGGATGATTCACAACGTGATAAAGACAAATATCACGACCAGAAACTAGTTTACGAGCAATTTACCCAAGTGATGTCAAAGAAAACGAGGAAGCAGCTCTCAAAAAAAGGCCAAATTTCCATGCTCGCTCACAATCCCACAAATGTGGGGCACCCTCATGTGGATGATTTCGTTCGATTGATCTGTTAATCATATATATATATTTTTTTCATATGTTTAATCCATAATTGTCTTTCTTTTTTACTTCAACAGAGGTCAGGTTTGGCCCCCCTCTAATTCGCTGTATTTTTTTTTTCGATATAAATAAATTAGGGGATGGCATCCCTACCCCAATTTGGGGCTTTGCCCAAAAAAAAAAAGAAAGAAAAAAGAACTGTATGATTCCTTAGTAAAGGCTTTGTATACATGTATTGTCACATTGTTAAGTATTTCTTTATTTAAGGTCTTTTCTTTTTGAGAA